TCCGGAAATGTAAGCAGACAGATGAAAACATTGTCCAATCTTAAAAATATAAAAGAAGTTAGAATTATAAAATGCTTATCTCTGCCCATGAAATTTGCATAAATATTTTAATACTTGTATGTGCTGGGAAAGAACAGAAATTAACACATCTTCTGGAAGTTAATTTGAGAAGAGTTGTTTAAAAAAGCCATTAGTTTTGCAAACATTCATTCTAAAAAATTATCAAAAAATACAGATGTATAAATGTATATAAAAATATGTGGCACGATCATCATACTATTTAAAATACATATTTATGAGTATTATGCATATGTAATCATGAAGATTTGGAAATGTATTTAGTATTGGTTACTTTTAAGATAGGATATTTATTTTCTGGTGATTTTATACATTCTAAATAAATTGGACCACTTTGGAGTATATAAAACTTAATTTTTCTCTCTCTTTTTTTTTAAAGAATAAACAAGGCAGGGCTGGGGATTTAGTTCACTGGTTCTGGTGCCTGCCTTGCAAGCACAAAGTCCCAAGTTCGATCCCTGGTACCAAAAAAAAAAAAAAAAAAAAACAAGGCATCCTTGAAAATCAGTGTTTGGATCTGGAACTTGAGGTTGGAAAGCCCTGGCAAGCACATGCCTGGGCAAGTGGAGGGTGAAACAGCCTGAGGAGATGGGGAAGCCACTAAAGATCCTGTCTCAAGCAGACCCTGGCACAGGCTCTGCCCACTGCCAATGACCCACACACCTGAAGGGCCTCCAGCTTTTCCTGCTGCTGGCGAATTTTCTCTGACAGCTGCTTCTGTTTCTCTTCCTGTGTCTTTGGATCCTTTTTGAATGTCCCCAGGGGAACTTTCTGCTTTTGTTCAGAAGCCTCACATCTACAGAGAGAAGGCACTAAGGAAGCTGCGGCAAAACAAGACTCTAGTGGGTCGGGGACCTCCCTCCTTAGCCAACCCTTTGCTCTCAAAGAAGAAACCCCCTCAGCTCCCAACGCATGGAAATGAAATACACCTGCTGTTCTCTCTTGAGCACTTTACACACGCATCAAGCCAGAGATGTACAATATGAGCAGTGACCTCAAGAAACGCAGTTATTTACCCCAAAGGTAAATCCCCCTCTCAAAGTGCTCACCGGTCCTGCTCAGGATCAGGGTTCATGGAGCAAACCCAGGTGTCAGGGTAATCTTTTTCCACCGAATTCAACTGGAAGGGGAGGGTCCTCCACTTTAGACACAAATCTGAGATATAGCATATATAAACATCAGCCACACTGATCCAAAGACACAGCAGACTTTCCATACAAAGATCTTTCCTCATATTCCAACTTTGCCTGTATATACACAACAGTAATTCTCAAGGACAGTGATTCCAGCAAGGATGAAAACTTAATGTCACGGAGCTCCTCATCCTACTGTAATAGGATTCTGGCTCAGTCATCCATGTACTCTAGAAACGACCTAATACCAAACCCAGAGAGCCTAGCCCAGCTGTGGAGTGAGAGGCCTGGGAGGTCAGGTGACCTTCTGTCTTATTCAGGAGAAGAGGAGGAACGGGCACAGCTTTAAGACAGAGGTCACAGGGCCACTATGAAACAGACTCATATCCCTGGGGGAACCCTAAGACTGTGAGCATCAATCAAGTCAAGAGGAAGTTTCCAAACACCCAACTTACCACACTGGATGGTGGTTGGAATTTCCATTGCTCTCCTGCGTTTGTAACGCAGCTCACTGGATGGGGGTTGGTTCCAGTTGGCAGAGAGGTAGCCAAACTCATCCCAAAACTTGATGATTCCACGTTGAGCTGGAAAATAAAGCTATCTATCACACCAGGAGCCAGCCTCATCCCTATTTTAGATTCATCCTCTCAGGCCCTAAGAACATCTCAAAAACTGGAGGTAAAGAGAAAGGGCAACACCCCAGCAGCCTGACCCCATTACCAATGGCAATGTCCTTCCAGTACTGTGCTAGATGCTCCCCCATCGCCTTCAGCAGATGCCGGTACTCCTTGGCATCAGCAAAGTCCTGCTTGTTGTGTGTAGGTTCCAAGACCAGGTAGGGCACATCGACAACCCCGACAACCCCACCACATGCCCTGCGAGGAGGAAGAGAGCATAGTTGTCACCTTACTGGTCACAGCCCTCCTACCACTGACCCTCTGCCTTTCCTGGGCTGGAAAGCTCCCCTTGGGTAGTACTCACATGCCCCCTTCCAGCTGTGGGCCCACTTTCTCATACATCTTGATCAAGCGGCTACAGTTGTAGATAAACATGCCATCTAGGTCTCGGTGTTCAATGTTGACCCCAAAAACAAAATTCAATTCCTTAGGTTCTTTGAGTGCTCTAACAAAAAAGACAAAATATTCAGGCAGATCTACTCATCGGCATACAAATAACATAGTGATGAAGATGTGTTAAGCTGAAGCTTAAACTTGAGATACGCTGAGCAAAGTTTTGCATCTCTAATTCAATGTGTGATCTCTTAGATTTCACCTGCACTGTGCAGTGATGTTAAGTTCACTAATTTTAACTTTTTGGTAACAAAACAGGGATGGATTTAAGCATGCACAGATTACCATAAAGCTGCTGCCAATCTTTGCAAAGACAGTTACATGGAATAAGCACAAAGTTATCTTCAAACCATCCCCAAACTCCACTACTGTGACAAAAATTAATGTTCTAGAGGTAAAAATTCATAAGAACATGTGAGATGGACACTATCATGTGATTAATGTCAAGGAAATCTTGGGAGTCTGAAGAGCAGATGGATGAACAGAGGAATCAGACTGAAATAACCTGAAACCTAAGCCTAGAGCAAGGATCCCTAAGAGACTCCAGACCTGGAGCTGGCATAAGGGGACCAGGAGACGTTTTAATGACCCAGGGCAAATGCACTTTCTAAACTGAAAGTCTGTGAAACTCAATCTACAGCATTATCCCACATTTCTAACCAGCGAAGAGAGAATGAATTATATTACAACATAAAAAATGAGAGTAAATTATCACCAAGTGGTACAACTAGACTGGAGTTTTAATATTTCTTAAATGTTTTCTATTTTTTAAAGTTTTATACAATGAGAGTACATAAAAGAAAAGGTGAGATGCCACTGATGAAGGCAGTTGCCTATTTGAGATGTTGGCTCTGCCCAGCCTTTTGTAGGCTCAGGAAAGAGTTGAGTACTCAGAAAAAGACCTGTCGGGGTATCTGACAAGTATTTGTAATCACAATATTAATAGCTTAACGACAGAATGGCAATCTATCAATCAGTACAAAAGCTGTATCATTTTAAAAGATCAAACAACAGCCAGATGTGGTGATGCACACCTGTAATCCCAGCACTCGGGAGGATCGCTGTGAGTTTGAGGCCAGCCTGAGCTACATAGCAAGTTCAGGGCCAGCCTGACTACAAAGGAAGACGTTGCCTCAAAAAAACCAAAACTAAATAAATAAATACACAAAGGATCAAAGAACAGCCCTAGCACTCACCGCTGCTTGGCCTCCTTGATCCTCTTCTTGACATCAGCTTCTCTGCGCAGGGTGATGGCAGTGTTCTGGACCTGTCTCAGCATCACCTGGACACACACAGCAACAGCAGGTGAAGGCAGGAGGTGAGCAGGGCCACAGCAGATGATGTTATATTACACCTACAACATCTCACTTTAACTTTCATACAGATATGAAATCACACTTGGAGGTTTCCTTCATCCTACAGAAAACGGGCCGCACCGGGAACAAACTTAAAAAGCTGTATTTCATGCTGGGTGTGGGGGTGCACACCTGTAATCCCAGCACACAGGAGGCTGAGGCAGGAGGATTGCTGTGAGTTCGAGACCAGCCTGGGCTACATAGTGAGTTCCAGGTCAGTCTCAACTACATAGTGAGACCCTGTCTCAAAAAACCAAAAAATGCTGTGTTTCATTTGACCAGATTCACAGGACATAGGCTCAATCCAGGAAATACTGGAAAATAGCCAAATAGGTCTAAGGCCTTACCCTGGAGTCCCGTGTGAGATCTCCACCCAAGCGTACTTCTAATGTCCGAGCTTTGCTCTCTGCCTCCCGGGCCTTCTCTTCAGCTGAAATGCAGAAGAAACAGTGATAAAGAATTCAAAGGTTTAAAACTGTCATCCTTCTTGGATTCACAGAGCAGTCCCTGCCACACAAGAAGTATGTACACCAGCAAGGAAAAGGCCAACTGCAGGAACAATGGCTAGTGAGCAACGTGGAAACATCCTCCAGGGCTGGACTGCAGAATCACTTCAGAACGAAAACCTGGCATTCAAAGGTATCATGGAGACCCTTTATAGCTGAGGATGTATTTTCGAACTTCACAAAGAAATCAAAACAGGCGCCCCAATACCAGAGGCAGAGTTAAGCCCTCAGCATAAGTTGAAGGCTAAAGAAGTCTTCAGCCAATCACTTGCCATAAAGGTAAGAAAGCTTGAGGAGTTCTGGTCAGCCCCAGTGTGAGATTTTAAGATATCTGCCCTGTGGTCAGGAAAAATAATTTTACAAGTATTCGAGGCAGAGGAAAGTAAGAGATTCTTCATTCTGGGCAAGCCAAAGACTTGAAAGGAATTGGACCACAGTTTCAAAGAACAGGCTTGTTCCTAGATAGTGGGCAGAGCCTTCTCTCCTACATGCCTGTTTTGGCTACGAGCAGTGTCCCCCAGATGTCCCCCACCCAATGCCCTCCTCCTACACAGGGAGTGACATTACCAATCCTTGCTACATGCTCTGCTTTCTTCACCTCCTGCTCCGCACGGGTCTTGAAACGGCTAGATGTATACTTGTACATCCTGAACAATGGAAAAACCAACTTGAGGGCCAAGAAGCAGTGGGGCAGATGGCCAACCTCCAGCTCAGGAAGCACCCTGCCTTCCTGGCTCCTCCCAAGCTGCACTGCCATGGCCTTGTAATGAGACCAATCTAAGCTCATTTTGGCAAAAAGAGTGAACTCATTATTCCACTTGCCCCTGGCCTCCTGCTGTCTTTGATGTTCACCAGAGTGTTACAGTAAGTCTACACCCTTACTCTACTGTCTAAGGCCCCCAAGGCCCTTAAGCAAGACACTCACTCTTCCACTCTTCACAGCTAAGAAGGCACGATGTTAGACAAGTCAGCCAGCCAACTTCCCACAGTCATACCTCTCTCTCCCTCAGAACCCAGAAATAACTCTGATAAAAGCACACGCAGTTTAAAAGCCCCCAAACAGCATTATAAGAGCTTCTCACATTGTACTATTCCAACACCCCAGAGAAATGCAGCCAGGCCCTATCCTTGGCCCAGGCCAGGGTAGGCAGGCCCCTACCTGGGCTTGTACAAGCAGCAGGAGAGCCTCTTGGTTTGCACCTTGTGCCCGTGGATGAAGATCCTCATCCGGGGATCAATGTAGAGCACAGCAGCATAGGCCCTGAAGGAGCGCCGTTCAGGCTTCCTGGAGGTGGCAAAACAAAGGGGTGCTGCCTCACAGCCTACAACCACAAGGCTACGACAGCCTCTGAAGGCCCTCCACCTTTCTACCTCACGTCTGAGCTCCTCTGGCCACCCTGTTGGGGTACTCCCTCATCACAGGCACCACGTCCTGCGCCTCTCGAAGCCCCCAGCACAGCTGCTCCATACGCATTTCACCTGCCCCTACCACAGACCTCTGTATAATCCTCCTCCTCACTCAGCCTGTTTCCTCTCTCAAACCAAGAAGTTGGAGCTGAGACCATGAACACATCCATGACGGGCCCTAATTCCTATGCCTTGCTGCTGGTGGCTCTGATGTGAATTCCATCTGATGCTAAATAACTAACTCAGAGGGGTCCAGGCTGCCCAATGGGACAGTCATACATGTACCACCTGCTCAAGCCAGCAGAAATGTACTAACCTTTTCTTTTAGTTTAGCTGGGAGCTGTTATCCTAATATTCATCCCTGCTGCCTTGTGGTGCTCTCAGCTCCATCAACTCTAATGCTGCCACTAAAATCCAGAGAACAAGCTCGCCCCTCTTTCCCTAAAGTCACCTCCTAAGAGAACACCAGTTCCATAGCCTGGCTCCTTTGCCCAGCCACACTCACGTGCCCTCTGGTGAAGTCTCTGCCATCTGGATATCTCTTGGATTTGAGATTATGTCTAGTTCAGGCTCTCCATTATCCATGAGCTTGAGATTAAAGATGATCACCAGTGTTCCTGGAGAATAGAAATCTTCCTTTCATTCTACCAGGCACACTGGGCCTATTCCCACACCACTTGCAGCCCTGGCGCTCCAACATTCTAGGTACTGCAGGCTCTAAGCTTACTCACCACTGTCCCCAGGAATCTTCATGAACTGGCTCATCACTTCCTCCTCAGTACGGAAAGGAGAATACTTGTAGATGAGCTCTGTCTCAATGGCAAACTTCTCCACATTGTCTGTGACAGGTTCCCGGGTCTGGGCATTCCAGGTGGGCAATGGGACTATCACCTTTGAAGTAAGCACAGGCTGATGCTGAGGTCCTAGAACAACTTCCCTCAAAAACAGGCAGCTATTTCGTCCCTCCCAGTAGTTCTATGCTGCTTGAAGCTGAGGCCTAACATCCACAGTCTCGCACCAAAGGCTCTGTGGCTTCTGCTCCTTGCCAAAAGTATCCAAAGTATCCTCAAGGTACTGTTTCCTCTCAAGATGTGCTGGGTTATGCCTCAGGGTCTCTGTCTGATTAGCTCCTTATATGCCTTATGGCCAGTTTCTTTCTTTTTTTTTTTGGTACCAGGGGTTGAACTCGGGACACCTTGCCCTTCTGAGGCAGGCAGCGGCACGTACCACTGAGCTAAATCCCCAGCCCCCTGACCAGTTTCTTAATTCAGTAAAAATGCTATTCTTATCACTAGGAAAAATATATTTGCAATTATCTTGTGAAAGTTCTGCAAATATATATATCATTAAACATGTACAGGAACCCATATATACCTGAGACAGGCTAATTAAAACTGTGGTATATTTATGCAACAAAATACTACGCAGTAGGGCCAGGGATTTTGCTCAATGGCACCACACCTGCCTCGCAAGCGCAAGGTCACGAGTTCAATCCCCAGTACCACAGAACAAAAAATAATAATACCATGCAGTAATAAAAATGAACAAACTTATAATTACTAGCATCAATGTGAATGAGTCTCATAAATACAATGTTCTATGAAAGGAGATCTAAAAGAGTACCTATGGTATTAGCTCATTTGTATAAAACTCATAAATAGGAAAAACTAAACTACTATTGGCAATGTGTACATAGGTGACAAACTGTACAGAGAAAGGAAATAGTCATCCCAAAAGTTACCTAAAGATATTTCCTTCAGGGACACAATAATAAATATGATTGGGGGCCAGGGATTTAGTGCAGTGGTTCCGCCAACCTGCCTTGCAAGCGCAAGGACCCAAGTTCAATCCCCAGTACCAAAATCAAATAAACAAAAATAAATAAAAAGTATGACTGGTAATGGCTCTTGGGGAACTTCCAACATTGGTCCATATGACAACTGCATGGATGTTTGCTTTATAGTTATCCTCCATACATATATTGTTTTATTTAATTTTAAATACATTTTATTTTATCCCATTCCCCCAAAACCCCGTCCTTTCCCTATGTAAAAAAGTTTCATTCCCATTTTTTCTTCTGTTTTCCCTTTTTCTTATCTCTTCCTTCCTTTCTCCCTCCCATATACATATATTTTAATACATTCTTCCACATATATGGAATGGTGTTTTTAAAAACTCATTTCTGAAAACCCTACCTCAAACACCACTTTGCCAGTGGCCTTATCATCCCCTTCCCCTTCCTTGAACCCAACAGCCCTCTCAAAGCCCAGCAGAGGGCTAGCTGAATGGATTCTATCTACACAGCAAACCAGCTGAGGCACCTTAGGAGTTTGACCTCAGATGGCCCATCCTTAAAACAAAGGGGGTCTGTATCTTAACAAGTGCCAGGAGTGATAAACAATTAGTGGTTCTGACACACTGCTGGTTTCTAAGAAGCTCTGTACTAAAAGCTTTCAACTGTAGGGCTGGTTTGGACACATTCCTCCTCAGCCAAAAATGATCTTATTCTGAAATCTTGGCTGAGTCCACACTAGAGTATAATCCAAAATAGTGACCTTCTAGCACCAAGTAAGGCAAAAATTTCAACCTAGCGTCTCCATCAAGGGAACTGAGTTCCATTTGTGTTCTATAAATAAACTTCTACCTTAGCTCTGTACTTCTCATTGTTCGAAACAGTTCCAGGTGACAATGGCATCACTTTAAACCATGACTCCTCCTCCTCCTGACCACCCATCACTCTGAACAGCTTCAATTTTACCACTGTTTTCCTATCATTCTATTCTAGTCAGCCTTCTGTGTGCCATGTCCTCTCCCCCTTGATCTTCTGATGTTCACTTTCCTAGGTCCCAGGTCTTCTCTCTCTACACTCTCCTTTCATTAAGCTTATCAACTCATCAAGAATCAAGGGCCAGGAATTTAGCTCAGTGGTACCACTCCTACCTTTAAAGTACAAGGTCTCGAGTTCAATCCCCGGTACCGGGGTGGGAGGATTCCCCAGAATTCCCTCAAACTTCACTTTTCATGTCCGCAATAGATTTATAATCTCTCTCCCCCAGACTGCCCTTCTTCCATTCTTTCACAGCTCCAAGTAGCACACTATTCCCAACTGCCACTCAAAACCCTGCAGGATCCCTCCTTTCCTTTTCTTCCTCCATGATCATTCACCACACCCTGAAGAGAAGATGGTTCTATCAACTTCTCTTACCTCCCTCCCTACTTGAGTCCCAACAGGGTACCAAGCAGAAAGGGCCTCTGAGCTGGTGGTCCACTTCAACGCTCACCTCTCCACCCATCTCTCTTTTTTTTTTTTTTTAAACAGGGTCTCACTATGTAGTTTAGACCGGGCTTGAACTCTTTGTAGCCCAGGCTGACCTCGAACTCACAGCGATCCTTCTGGCTCAGCCTCCCAAGTACTGGGATTACAGGCGTGTGTCATGATTGGCCTCATCTTTCTAATCTAATCAATGCAGAGACCTTTGTAAAAGACAAGCCGATACTGGCCTATGCTTACTTAATAAAGTCCCTCTCACTCAACAAAGTCTGGAGGACAAGACTAGTCTGGCCCTCCTTACTTTCTAGAGGCCACCACAGGTTTGGCCGTCAAGACCCTTCACACAGCCTTCACCCACCCTCAGCGCCTTGAGCAGGCTGTTTCCATTGACCTGAACATCCCAGCCCAGGCTACGTCCTGTCCCGCCTTCCCCAGAGAGGCCGCTTTTCCCAGCTGCAGTTCATCTGTCAGTCCAATTATGCTGAGTGAATTAACACACAGAACCAAAAAGGAGAATAAACTGCCTTGCTAAGTAAAGCCTGTAGGAAAAGACAGCCTGCTGTTCCCACTGTGAACTAGCTTGCTATATTTAAGGCTCAGATCTCAACAGGACCAGTACAGATTCAATTACAACTAACAAACAGAGAAGGATTAGAATGAAACCGAATTCCATCATCTGTTTATATTAAACAGCCATGGATTTCTTCTACAGAACCTCTCTGCCAGATCTCTCAAGCTCTGGCCTCCATTACTCACATAACAGGTGAAAAGTATCAAGCTTGAGGCTGGACAGAACAGAAAACTTCCAAATCCCTCCAACAAGAAACAGCTCTGCAGATATTAGAGCCAGCAAGCCATAAAGAGCTGGCATGTATTTAGCTTAAAAAGCTAATTACTAAAATTTTTAAAAATTTATTTGGTAGTACTAGAAATTGAAGCCAGGGTCTTCAAAATGACCAACATCACACCCCTTTTTTATCTTTTAGTTTGAGACAGAGTCTCACTGAGTTTCCCAAGCTGGCCTCAAACTTATGATCCTCCTGCCTCAGCCTCCCAAGCCACTGGGATTACAGCTGCATACCACTGAACACTTACTAAAGTATTTTATATTAAGAATATCCTGGCTGGGCATGGTGGTGCACACCTGTAATCCCAGCACTCGGAAGGTGAGGCAGAAGGATTGCCATAAGTTTGAGGCCAGTCTGCGCTAGTGAGTTTGAGGCCAGCGTGAACTACATAGCAAGACCCTGTCTCAAAAAAGAAAAAAGAATATTCTGAACTAAGTCTCTTTTCAGCATAGTAATAACCACTGGGGCTGTGTAGCAGCCACTCCCAAAGTTGAGAGACCAAGTGGCAGATGCCATTTAACAACAAGCTCATGTAGTTTTCCATATTCTCCTCTGGTTTCAGTACCTGCTTAAACCCTGAAGGTGTCTAAATTCATAGTTTCTAATTTATGCAGTTAGAGCAACACATTTCCTTAAAAGGCTGTTTCCATTATTAATGCCAGCTTCATTCTCCACCCAGAATCAGGGAAGCCCAAAATACTCCCACTGATAACACAGCTCTCCATGGCGACACCCTCCACAGATGATTCGAGCGGAGCTGCAAATCCAACTCTTGGTTCCTGCCATGTGATAGTCTCATTCTCAGAAACAAGACCGCTGTTCTCTGAAGTGCTTTGAAATTTCACTTCCTCTCACATTAAGGTATCATCTGCCTGATCTCCTCAACAAATACAGGTACATTCAAACAGCTAACCCTATAATACAGGGCATGGGCTCTGTAACAGGTGGCCTGTGCAGACTGAGGAAATGCAGACTACTGTTTCAGGCCACCAAGATGGGACCTACTTCATCAATGCCTTCTTCCTCGTGAAAGGTGCGAGACAGGAAGAGGCAGGTCATGGTATCTTCCTTCTTAGTGAAGAGGATAAAATCCTTCCCGATACGCATTGAGCCCCTGAAATGGAAGCAGAAAGCAGGTTAAGTCTTTCAGAGATTGAAAACTCATCTTAGAAAGGTGTAATTCACGTTTTGGACATGCTGGAGACTGCCTCTGGAGGGTTCTCTGAAGGCCTACCTAGATCCAGGCCCTGAGCTGAGTTCCTTAGTCCTTGTTCCCCCATCACTTACCCAATACTCCTTATTTAATTCCTTATTCTTTACCTATACTCTTCTCTGCCACACTTACCTCCATTCAGGGCTTTCTTAATATCCTTTTAGGGTGCACTCATTGCTGACCCAAGATTAGTCTCATTCCCAGCTTGTTGGTACAACACTAACAAGTAACTTCACTGCCCTTGACTTCTGGGTTTATCACAATCACATAAGGGCTGTGATGCCCTCTGCCTGTGCCAACAGTAGGTCCCACTACAAGAGCTAATACCTTCAACACATTATCTTCTATGCAGAACACATACAGTTCTCATCTTGTCCTACACTGACACGAACACCCTTCATGTCCACTCATCAATCAGCAACAGGAACACCAAGGAACAGCCTAGTGCCTATGTTCACAAGTTCTCCAAGTAGCAGTATGAACCCAAGACAGCCAAATGTAGAGGCCATCAAAATACAATTCTTGATGACAGTGTTCAAGGAGGCCTTACCTGGCTCAATTCTGATAATCACAACCATGTTTGGTCTCCGAATTGCTTTGCCACCTCAAGCAAATTAGTAATACAGGCAGATCCCTACTTCTGTATGCAGCTGGTTTCTGGGAACTGTACCTTGAGGCTGACTTCCCAAGGCAAAAAGTCTGGATGGAATCAATTGCTTTCTTCCTGTTTGGTCTTGGTAAGGCTTCTGAGAAGCAGGCAGGGACAGGCCTTTCTAGGCAACATAAAACAGGGCAGAGCCAAGCGCTAGTGGAAGACTTCCCAATCAACAATGAGGCTGTTTAGCTCTTTCCTTCTGAACAGCTCCTGGGGCTTTACGGCTATTATCTCATTAGTCCTCATAATACGCCAGGAAGATGATGGAGGTGGGAAGCCTCATTATTCTGAGTACAAATACAAATGAGACAGGCAGGACAAGTACACAGATGAATGTCATGCCTCTTTACCCCAAACACTCAGGGAAAACTCCCAAGGCTGCCACGTCCAATTTCTCCTCGTCCAGTACTGAAGGTGCTGGGAGGCTCTTTCCTCTTTAACTTCAGAGTTCCTTTCTCTTAAAGCTTGCAGGTAGCAAAAGGAGGCACATTATTTTGCCTTGTGCCAAAGTTTGCCATTGCTGTAATTTGCCAAAAACTGTGTCCTTCTTTCCTCTGTATTTGATCCTTACCACAGTGCCTAAAGAGCAAAACCCAAAAACATTACCTCTCTGCTGGCTTTCTGGCTCTGGCTGCTTAGCCCTATTCTCACTACAAATCACTTTCTCCTGGAACTTTTTCAACTGCCTTAATTTCAAATGACTGTGCTATCTACTCTGAACACTGGATGGCACCACTTCAAACAAATCCGCTGAATATGCTAATGACAGCACTCTGGACAGTCCTTTCTGGCCTTCTAACCATTTTCACAGTCGCATTATTTCCTCCTGAATCTCCCTTTCTAAGGGAGAATGTCAGAGGTCAGAACCCCACTTCTGGATTAGGAAATAATGAGAGGTGAGACAGCCCACAGAACTGAATGGACCACATAAAAGGAAGCTGACCTACAATCCAGAGGAAAATCAGGGTTTCTCCCTCACTTTGGGGAACTTAGACCACCTTTGTCAGAAATCTCAATGGAAGTTTCATTAGGATCACAAGTGATTCATTTCATCTATGAAAAACTTACCCAGACCACTAAATCAAGTGAGGGATTCTTGGACAACAGAGAGATGATCCAGGAAGAAATAAAAGCCAGAAACTAAGACTTACAGCAATGATTGTTGTATTACAATTGAAACTTTTTTTTTTTTTTTTTTTGGTGATAGGGTCTCACCATGTAGTTCAGGCTACCCTTGAACTCACTATGCAGCCCATGCCAGTCTCAAACTTACGGCAGTCCTCCTGCCTCAACCTCTGGAGTGCTGAGATTACAGGGGTGCCCCATCACACCAGGCTATAATCTCTATTTCCAGAAGAGGAAGCCAAAGCTTACAAAAGCAGCTGAGGTGAGATCTGAAGCTTAGTTTGTCAGAATGAAATGAAACCTTAGTTTGCCAGTAGCTCACATTTTGCAAAAACCTGGTTCATATCCCAGCTCTGTGCATATACATCTTTACATCTCTGGGCAAGTCTCTATCCGCACAGACTTCATCTGAAAATGAGAACAGTACCTACATACCAATGGGCTGTCATAAAGGTGTGAAGTTTTTAGCATAGTGCCTGGCACATACTGTTATCATTACCATTTGGTTCCTGCCCTGAAAGAGCAATCACAAAGTCTAGGAACTAGGCCCCTGATTTCCTTGGAAGCACCCTCTTCTCCACACCCAACACACCCTGAACAAGAAACCCGACCAAAGCTATAGACAGATCAAATCACCATCCTCTCTCAAACAAAACATGTTTCCACAGCAAGACTGAAAACGTGACTCATAATTCCATTTGCACAAACTCCAATTCCACTGAATCTTATTCCATCCAAAGGTATGTACAGCTGGAAGTGAGCATTTCAGAAATAGAAACCTTTCTCTTGGGGCTTCACTCAAAACCAGAACAACACATTCCAAACATTAAATAAATGGGAACCAAGTGCTAAGGGAGAAGTCCCAAGGGATGTGAAGGCAGGAGGTGGGTCCCTGCCATAAGGGCTTACAAGATATGTAAATAGAAATAGCATCTTCCAGAAGGGAGGGCTTGTATCTCTTATTCACTCTGGATCCCCAGTGCAGGGCACGAGCCATGACATACAGCAGATGCTCAGGAACAACACTATACCCCACCACTTCAGACATCCTAACCTCACAAGAGAGAAACTCATATCCTCAACCACAGGCAGAGCCAACATGAGAATTTTCCTAAAGACAAAGCGCAGTTCTAATATACAGTGCCAAAAGAAACCCCGTCTGCCACCCCAGCTTCTTCTGGAGGTTCATACTGTGGGGCAAACTCAGCAGGGTAATCACGGGTAAGCTACCCGAAAATCACTCCTTTTTGACCTTCCTACTGTTCCTGAGTTACAGTCGCAGAGGATAAGAGGACAGAAGAGCCTTGTGACGGGCTTCCAGTATACCTACGATTTTAACCCATTCCCATACTGCCCAATCTGGGTGGACTCGGGTGTTCGTTTGGCTGACTTCCCAAACTGGATCACACTGGCAGCATCACCTGAAGTAGCAAACACATAAGAAAGTGAAAGTTAGCATTTCTCCCCTAGCTTCCTCAAAGTAAAAGATCTGAGCTTTGCTAAAACATGGCTGTGTGTCTGCTGAACACCTTTCTCTAAGGAAATTTGCAATCATGAGGCAAAAGAAGACAACCTTTGTGTGGCCTCCCAGGACCATGACTAAACTGTGTTCTATTACCAGAACATGGTAAACGGGCTAGGGGAGGGCTCAATTGTTCCAGCTCCAGAATGTTGTACAAACTGATGGATACAATATCAAGAGATAGGTAACCTGACTAACTGAAGACTGCCATTCAGACTCTATTTCCCAAGTCAGGACAAGACTCAACAGATATCTAATAAGCATGTTATTCTCCAAGTGGATCTTTGTCACAAGAGTGAGGCCACAGAAGAATAAGTTTGTGTGGTGCTTTGTAAAAATGACTACATGCTCCCCCAAAGAAATACAATCATCTCTTCACTTACTGGGGTCCATTCCTGCTCCATCATCCAAAAAGCAGAGCATAAACCCTCCTCGAAGGTCCTCTCGCCTTTCTGTAAAAGAAGCAGTTGCCATTATTGGGCCATTATCAAAGAGAGAGTAACAAAATAGCTATGAACAAAAGGTGGATCTCTGTTAAACTTGATCCAAAAGGGTCGGGTCAAACCAAGCTTCTAATAGTTCTAGCTAGCATGAGGACCCTTGAGGGTGTGAATTTTTGATCAAAGGTTCTCCAATGCCTTCTAGTTCAAGAAAAAGCTTGGGAGAATCTATGAGGAGGGCAGGGACTACCTGGTCCAGCACCTAACCGCACCCATGACCACTGAATATGCATGTGTTTCACATACACCTCAATATCTGGATCATTGTCAATTCCGCCCTACGCCACAGATCACAAACCACTAAATTATTCCAACTAGTACATACTGTTCTTATCAACACAGCTCAAACTCAAAGGGTACCTTCTCTTTTAAATGTGAAATAGCCTTTAGACAAAGTGATGAAGTCAGATGTGGTATGGAATACAGTGGCAGCAGCTGCTATTTAAAAGATGAATTACCGTGTCTATATATGACAACCCCTAGGGAAACTACAGGTTCTAGACGACTCTCATATCTCCTGTTAGCTATAAGTCCTAGAAAGGGAGTAAGATGACACAAAGTACAGTGATAAAGACCCAGTTCCTGGTTGGATCTGCCTGACTGCAAGCAGAACAGCTCCTTGACAACATATACAGCAGCTTCCTGGCCAACAAGAAAGACACACAACTGGCTGCCATTCTGACGGGTAAGTGAAGAACTTTCAGCAAGTTTTAACTCAAAGCAGTTACGGGTCCAAGATGTCATGGACAATGAACAGAGTCACAAAGAAGAGGGCTTTACTTTTTTCTGTGGAGGTTTTAACTCAATGATGAAGATGAGCAATGGAAACACTAGCCTTGGAATTAGGGAAGTAGAATCAGAGAGAGAAGGATGTGAGAGTAGAGGCAGAAGACTCACACAATCCACAGAGGGTACCACTAGCACCAATCTCCCTAGTTTAGATGCTGTTCATAGTCCACCCAGTGGCACAGGGATAAAAGCAGCACTTCTACCAGAAGGAAGAAGGTCTATATAATATCCAAGCCTAAAATTACTTTCAAGACGGGTCCTTAACAAAGGAATTTTTAAACTTCCTCAAGCTGCAGCTAACCAACTTTGTTCAACTATCTATGCAGATTAATCTGTTTAAAATGTTCTTTTGTCCTCCCCTCAGGCTAAAAATTCAAGTGAGTCATGACTGTCCTCTGTTAAACAGACTAGTTAATGTAATTTAAAATGCAATTTCAGAAGGGCTATATAAAGCACAGAGATTTTCAAGTACCACTTTATGTTCAGGAAGCTGAGCATTCATTACAAGTACCTCTTGAAAGTTCAAGAGTGAAGATCTTCCTGGAAGTACAATTGGTAGATAAGAAAATCTTTCCCTGTGGCAATGCCTCTCATCAGTCTAGGAAACTCAAATGAGATGAGGCAAGCAGGAACAAATATGCAAAAAGGGATCAAAGATTTCATCTGATAGAAGCAAAGTGTAATATGGAAACTCAAACTGGGTCACATACAGAACTTGACATTTGCTGTACATTATGCCATAAAATGTACAAAGGTTCTAGAAATTGATTTAAGACAAGTGCATCTGAAAAGTCCCCAAAGATTATTGGCATTTTTTGAACACTATCAAAGAAGTCACTTTCTAGGTCCTTATATTAGGATATGATTCACAGACTGAAATGTTTCAGCACACAATCATTACTTAAAAGTGGGTCTGGAATTTTATTTATGATTCAAGGACTTCATTTCAAAATGTTTAATGTAGTTTACAAGGGTAAGACATTCATACTAGAGGGAAATCCTCCTGGCCACAGAGTGACATCCTATAAATGGCAAGTAGTGTCCAAGTCCACAGTCACATGCAATACGACCTCAGGACCAAGACAGATTAGATAATTCAGTAGTAACTTCTAGATAATTCAGTAGTAACTTCTTTAACTTTGTATATAGGCAGCACAGTTATCTCTACCTGGTCACAATATGTGTGCAAATGGCTCACTTATTGGATAACTAGTGAGCACTTCTTGTGTGACTGGCCCCATGATGCAGAAAAGAGCAACAAACAATGCAGATGTCTCCATGGAGTTTATAGTCTTAATAGATTCTACTCTCTGAAGATTATATAGGATGTAAAGCATAGGAGAGTTTAAGCTGAAGGAGGCTAGGAAAAGAGCCAGCTAAAGCAAAAATGTAGTGTATCTAAAAATCGCCTGAAGAGTGGTAAAAATAAAGATTTTGGGCTTCATTCCAGATAGGTCAGAGGTAGTAACTGAGAATCTGCATTTCTTCTGGGGTTGATGGGTAGACCACTCTTTGAGAAGCACCATTCTAGAGCAAGCCAGAAGAACTAAGAAGGCAACCCTCCTCAAAACTACTTCCCCATGCACTCCACCACAGAAATTCATTCCTGAAGGAAAGGAGTGTTGGAAACCAGATAGGGAACACAAAGCCAAAGTGTCTTCATAGCTATGCCTCAGACTCTGGTTAACAGCTATACAAGATTGTCAGAACCAGTTTGGAAGGTTGCACTTCTAAGCTTCCTCCAACACGGCCAAGTCTGACTTCTCCAAACCACAGATCACCCCACTTTTCACTCCTACTAAGTTGAAAAAAAGTGGTAAATGGGTGAAGAGATGTAAAGTGGAGCTTAAATCAAAAGTAAGATGCAATGATATAATGGCGTCCTTTACAGAGGCTATTATGTAATGGCACCCAAGTTCTTCATCACATTCTGCAATCTAAACTTCAGTCTAATGAGCAGTACTAAGGTCAGTTTAATTTGTTCTGACCAATTTCCATTTATTTAATCATTGCCTTGGCATCACAAAAGGAATCTTTAGAGAAGGTGACACAACCTTTCCCAGAAAGTTGAGTGTTACAGCTTCTATCTAGATGTCCCCCTAACACTTCATGTGGTTACATAGGTAGAGCTTTTCAGAGGTGGCTGGATCTGGAGTGTGTGATTACTAAATTAGTCCACTAACTGGTTTGACATAGTTCTGGGAGTGGATATGAGAAGGCCCTCCTAGGTAGGTATCCTGAATAAAACATAAACAACATTAGGAAAGGGGTTGTAGCTTGTCACTTGCTACTTCAGTGCTCTGCTGCCTTCTGCCTGCCATGAACTACTTCTCCTCTGCCAAGCTCAGAGCCAGACAATTATGAACTGAAATCTCTACAAACTATGAAACAAATAAATCTTTCCTCCTTTAATTTTTGGTGTCAGGTATTTTGTCTCAGCAACAAAAAAAGAAATCAAGACATTGAGAAAGTCACTTCTGAAAGTCTACTTCTGAAAGGAGTATCATCACACTCTGGTTCCAACTAATGTGAATACTTTGGGCAAATGAACACTTTTGTACTTTGAAAGGCTAATTTCTTTCTTGCCCTTCTTAGGTTGAAAGACGGCATTTAAAATGTGATTTTACAGTGACTTCAAACTAAATCTGATGTTTGGGAGGTTTTCAAATTGTATCTCAATCCAATTTCAAAACATGAGATAACATGTACTAAGATCTTTAGAATATTTAGATTAGTGATGCCACTGCCCTTATTTCTACTGTTAAAAGCATTAATAGGGCACTGAGGTAGAAAAATGTGAAGTTAAGGATGCCTCACCCAAGAATCTCAATCCCAAGGTACTTGAAAGTAAAGCAAGCCCTTTTCCAAAACACTATGGTACTGCTTCTATCACACCATGTAATCCTTAACTGTCTTGACTGTTCCCTCAAGGTCTAGTTATGATTCTTTAATCATCTGTAGTATGCTCATTATCTCCAATTAGAGATGAAGTTCTTAGAGCTAAGGCCACATCTGATCCTCTCTGGACTTTTCCCAAAACACAAAAGTAGCACTGAGAACAGAATAAACATACACTGAGTCTTTTTCATTTAAATTAATATACAACCGTTCTGCTGCATTCTGAATGTTAAGAGCTAAATTTCTTTGCCAAGATTCCCCCACTAAAAGTGGTATGAGGGAGCAGAGATCACCTTTAAAAAAATTTTCTTCCAAATTCGGACTTAGCTATTAGGATTTGTTCCTTTGACATCTCTTGGGAGTGGAGACCCCTTCTCTAGTTTATCATGTACATGATTAAAATAGTCATTTTTTCTTATACAACTTAACTGTTACTGTTCCTGAAAGCACATTCAGATCTGCCTGGAAAGATCCCTCCATTTGGTCAAAGATTTAGCAGCCATATTCTAACATTCTTCTGCTATACCCCTTTTACCTGTTACTTCTTCCAAAAATAAAAGAAGCCTATTTCTACCATTTTGGCAGGTCTTTTCAATGGAGGGTTTTGAGAATTTAAGCAATACTGATGACATGTAGGTCTCCGGAATATTTGCTTGGCTTCAAAATAGTATTAAGCCGAGAACATGTATCTGGAGATTCTTCATAATTACATGACATTAAAGGTTCTCAGAATTAGTACTTGTGTGTTCAATCTCATATATCAAGTGGGCCTATGAATAGGAGTTATTTGATAACTCTATATTCCTACATAAAAAGACTTCTTCAGGGGCCAGAGATTTAGCTCTGTGGTTCCACTGCCTGCCTCACAAGTACAAGGACCCGAGTTCAATTCCTGGTACCCAAAAAATAAAAATAAATAAGAAAGACTTCTTCAAAGCTAGGGAATGTTATTCAAAATAGAACTTCAAACCTTACAGAAGAGTTCAGAAACAGTGCTGAGAAAACATATAACAGTAACCAGATTGGGTTTAAAAGCTGTCTTCTATTTCATTTCCAAATTTTTAGTATTCAAATAATAAAAAAAAAGGTGCTGGTACAAATACTGAACTGGCAAAAAGCAAACTACTAAAAAGAAGAAAGGCCAATCACAACAACTAAGAATTCTTTCACTGCTGCAACCACTCTAGGAAAAACAAGATCTTAGTATAAAACCGTAGAACCCATCCAATTAAAATAGTTGAGGATATCAAAGCCTCAAATTCATGGCCAAGCAGCTTTCCTTTCTACCTGACACTTCTACCCAAGAACACTTCTATAAACCTAATTCCAACCCGGTTACCAGCTGTTTTCTGCAACTGAAACCAGCTACCTTCTCAGTAGGGACTGGTGCTCACCAAGAGTGATGTGAAAGAAATTCCAGCAAAATCCATCCTTCCGATAAGATGATCAGGACATACTTGGTCATTTCATATCCCATTACTCTACTCCACCACTCCTACAAGTGTTCTTGTGTCTATGCACATAAATTAGATACCTAGTATTTAGTTTCCAAATCAGTATTCTTGGTTTCTATGACATACTTGACCAGGGCTGACCCATTTCTACCTACAACCTGAAGTAACTGTGCCATCTCTCCATGCTCCAAAAACTAGTTATTTCCCACTCATTTCTTCTTAGAGATACAGTAGTAGAAAGTGCATTAGAGGAACTGGGCACTAGAAGAAAGATTTAAAATCTGACTTACCTGCATAAATATCTATTCTAGTGGCATCAGCATCTCTGCAAAATTTAAAAACAAAAATCTAAATGAGAATAAAATATCAATCAACAAAATACATCATATTCTGAGTCTTTTAGGAAGCCATACAACACTGCATACATTAAAGCTTTGCTTTTACACTTAGCAAACACGATTTCCTTACATACTTATGAAATGCTTTAGGAGCTCTCAATTATTTAAGACAATTACGTGATACATGGGGCCTGAATACATTTTTGTTTTTGTTTTTGTTTTTTTGGTACCGGGGATTGAACTTGGGTCCTTGAGTGCAAGGCAGGCGGCGGAACCACTGAGCTAAATCCCCAGCCCCTTGAATACATTTTTAAAACACTGATTTCATGTTGAAAAACATGTAACTCAGGATCAGTAAGAATATTTGATATATATATTATATATTATCATATATATATCATTCATTTGCAATCTTAATAAGATGTTCCAAAAATTCATCCATTTTCCTTCTCACCGAACTTGAGAAAAACTATAACTGCCACAACCTGTGAAAAAACTGGGTCTCACAATATATACACCACAATCAGCAAAATGATTCCTGGGCCCAAAATACTGACCTTGCTAACCTTGAAAGAAACTTAGGATATCCCATTAGACTCCAGTGGATTCTGTCATCGATGAAGGCTTGCAAGTAATTTATATTTATTTTAATTCTCCTGACTGTGGGCAAGGAAACTGAGGCAGTTTCATAGGTTTTAAGTGCAAAAAGTCCACTCAGGATATAGCCCAGTTGTAGAACAAATGCCTAGCATGCATGAGGCCCTGGATTCAATAAAAATATAATTTTTTAAAAAACTTTTAAAAACCCCAAATCTACTCAGCTCTACATGTACATTTTCTCAATGATATAACAAATTGTTTAAATATGAGAGATTGGCAAAATATGTGCAGGAATAGGAAACATACTCCCAGTTCACTGTCTGATACACAAAAAACTGCCTGCCACAACATAATGCTCTAAGTTAACAAGCAGCAAATGCAAACAATTTCATTAAGTTACAATATTATTAATTGAATTGAAAAAATAAGTCAATACTGAAACAAAATGGGAGTTTTCTGGTTAAATAATGTATTACCTATCACATTTTCATAGATGTTTAAAAACAAAAAGTAATGACAGTATAGGCTACTCATGGCAAACCTATGGCACTCCTGCCATAGCCAGCTGTTTGTATCATTCAAAGCTTTAAAAGGTTCACCATCACTGGTAAAGGTTAACTATACAGACACTAGAAAAATACAAGAAAGCTCACTAAATGGGAATCAGTTTAGAAGAACTACTGCCAACTCTTGCCCTCTTCAATAATCATCAAAAATAATCCTGCCAGGGATTTGGCTCAGTGGTTCCGCTGCCTGCCTCATAAGTGTAAGGACCCAAGTTCGATCCCTGGTACCAAAAATAAATAAATAAATAAAATTAATATTCTTAATTTTCTGTTTGCATTCAAGAATAAGACAGGACAGCCAGGCACGGTGGCACACGCCTATAATTCTAGAACTCAGAAGACTGAGGCATGAGGATTGCTGAGAATTCAAGGGCAACCAGGGCTACATAATGAGTTCCAGGCCACCCTGAACTACAGCGTGAGACTCTTAGAAAAAACAAAAGGAAAGGAAGTCTGGAACAGTATTTTCTTTTTTCTTTGGTACCAGGAATTGAACTCGGGACCTTGAGTATTTTCAAACTGTAACTATAAATGGGATTTTTATTTGAACTAGAATTTTTGTCTTATAAATGAACTCAAACTTCTATTCAACTCATTGTAAGACAATGCTGAAGAGTGGCTCCTTCTAAGCACAAATGCTAACAACGGAAGAGATTTTGATCAATGGGAATCCCCTTGAAATAAAACATACATTCAGGAAAGATACAAAATGCTGGCAAAGTTTTAACGATATCAGGAGTATACTGTCCTGGTAATACAAAATAAAATCATAGGTCATCTATCTCAATAATTTGACCCTAAGTTTCTATCTCAATTCCCTGCTTTTCACAGTCACTTTAATATACAAGGAAAAGTGGTTTGAGATACAGTAAGGTTCACTATTTTTAGGCTAAATAAAAAGTAATAAATGAATTTTAAGTTAATCAAGAAACAAAGATGAAGTATTAATCAGTATGATATTAAAAATACTTTGTGGTAATGGGCCTCTTAGGAGTTATAGATATTACAGAAATGTTCCTGCAAGTCTTCAGTGAGCAAAGGTCTTAATGATCCAAAGAGCTTACACTTCAAGCAGATTATGTGCTGGAAGTCTACATACCTTGCATTATCAACCAGTTCAGCAAGGGCTCCGAATAAAAATTCATGAGTGGTTCTGAAATGATAAATATGAAGTTAGCAGATGAAATGAACTGCGGTTCCTAGTAAGTCAAGGTTGTTAAAATTTCTTGTTTTTAAAAAAAGAAATCTAAAATCTCCATTTACATTAATTCGCATTTCTGAAATTTAAATTCCTCCTAACTTAGCTTAGTTCCAGAATTCTTAAACATAAATCAAGTCTTGCCATATACTCAGAATTCTAAGTTTATTCTTATGAACTGAGAAACCCACCCTAAAGTATTAAGATTCCCACAGGTACTAACTCCGAAAAAGGGATACTATGCTTTTAAAAAAAAAGCCTGTATTTTATTTTTCAGACTTAATTGTCAGTTTCTGCGTATCTCACATAATCTTTTTTTTTTCCAAAGAGGCTATCATAATACAGCTTTGGTTGACCTCAAACTCACTAGGTAGCCCAGGCTGGCCTTGAATTCACATTCTTCCTGCCTCAGCCTCCTGGGTGCTGGAATTATAGACACTTACACATACCACCACATTCAGCTTTTATTATCTTTATTGGGGGGTTTTTTGGTAGTGGGGAATTGAGTTCTGAATAATGGGATCTTGTAGCTGTGTAACCCAAATTTTCAGCAGCCTCCTGAAGAAAATAACCACTGACTCTTCTCCTTGAAAAGGTTAACTTCAGTGGGGTTCCTAGGAGAGCACACTAAGCTCTTATCCTTTTAGAAGGGCAAAAGTCTTGGATTCCTCTGTTGAATGTGTGCTGTTGTTTTTAGCCAAAATTTCAAAGCCAAGATTACTGTTATTCTTTCCTTCTTCAAAACAAGTATTTTTCCTTATAAACTACACAAAAGCATTCAGTTTTCCTCCCCGCCACACTGGTAGATCATACACAGGTACTGGTAAAGAAAAATGCTAACAAATTATCCACTAAGCATGCTCAATTTACAATCTTTAACCCTAGAAAGTCATACAAACATCGGTTATGCCCACATAAAAGCATCTAGAAAACCAGGTTGACTTCTAGAAAAAATACAAAATTATTAATTGATACAATATCTTACTATCATTAATTTTTCATTAATACCAAAATTATTCCTGCTAGCTTTTTTGCATACAGTCTCAACCAACAGCCAAAGTAAAAATTTCTTTTTCTTTTTTGGTACCGGGGATCAAACTTGGGACCTTGTGCTTGCGAGTAGGCAGCAGAACTACTGAGTTAAATCCCAAGCCCTAAAGTAAAAATTTAGAATGAGGTATATCAAAGATATATATAGATATTAAAGACCTACCATGTAAGAACTGGTCACTTATTTTAAACTCTTAAGACATTTGTTTATAATTCTTGAAACTGTCCAGGAATAGTTTTTTGTCAAGTAACTCTTTAAATGCAAATTTAATTAATGAAACTACCAGCTCTCAATTTTTGTTTTTGGTTAAGACAGGGTCTCACTATGTAGTTGAGACTGACCTGGAACTCACTATATAGCCCAGGCTGGTCTTGAACTCACAGTGATCCTCCTGCCTCAGCCTTCCGAGTGCTGGGATTAGAGGCGTGTACCAACATGCCTAGCCCAGCTCTCAATTTTTGGAAAAGCTTTCCCCCAAGAGTTCAATGAATATATCTGTTGCTAATCCAAAGGCATTACTAGTAAGTCTACTGTAATGAGAGACAGAAATTTTATCACCAATTCACCTAGAATACAGACAGCAAATTTTTATGGCTTATGTCCAATTCTTAATTTTACATGGAAGAAACAAAATTTTTAACAGAAAATCTGCCTTACAGTCATCTTTAATTATTAAAAAAAATGTTTAAACATCTAAAGTCATCACTCTAAATTCTTCAAAGTATGAATTAAACAAATATTCTTTATACCCGACTAAGGAAATACAAAGACCAGGCAATGATGGAACATATCTATAATTCCAACTCCTCAGGGAAATGAGGCAGGAGGCTTCCCAAGAGGCCAGCCAGAGCAATTTAGTGAGATCTCAAGACTTAAAAAAAAAGTTAGGAACGTTGCTCAGTATAAGAGTACTTGTCTAGTATGCTCAAGATCCTGTGTACTAGTCCCCTAGTACTGCAAAAAGAAAGAAATAGGGACCACTATGCTGAAAAATTAAGGTGATTTGCTAACTAAGGTAACATAAATTAAAAGTGAATCTTGATATTTGTTCTCAAACTTCGAAATAGTCATCTTTCTACCTGTCTTACAAGTGATTTAGAAAGCAAATTGGTTTTCTATATTCTGAACTTATTTTGAGGACTGCTACATAAAATAATAAATTCTATTGCAATACTCGTTTCAACATCAATCTATCTATATTTTAACATAAGTCAAATAATCTCAAAAATACATTCCCTAGAAAAAACAAAAGAGCAAATCACACTAAGAACAAAGACCATCACTGGGCATGGTGGTGCACAACTGTAATCCCAGCACTCAGGTGAAGCAGGAGGATCACTCTGAGTTTGAGGCTTGCCTGAGTTACATACTGAGTTCCACACCAGCCCGAACTACATAGCAAGACCCTGCCTCAAAAAACAAACAAAAAGAGTCCAATGATAAATGTAACTGCATTGTTTGCTTTAAATGTACCAATAAACTTAATGGGGGACAAAAAAGAGAGAATAAAGGCTATCATTTGCTGGGCTTGATGGCACATGCCTGTAATCCTAGCTGAGGCAGGAAGATCACCAGTTCAAGACCAGTCTGGGCTACACAGTGAATTCAAGGCCAGCCTGAACTACATACATAGTTAAGACGCTGGCTAAAAAAAAAAAAAAAAAAGAACGAAACAAATTAAGACTATCACTTGTATCAGATGCACTAACTTTGGAATTAAAGAAAGCAGTTTTTGGCCTTTAATAGTGAGAATGAAGAGTAAGAATTATCAGAAAAACTAATTCTGACACCCTCTGCCATTAGGACATGGAAGCCAAAAATACAAATAGTAACCCTATCTCAGTAATCCTTATTTTTGATTACTTTACATAAAAATGGGTTTGGGTAAGGGAAATACTGGGTATTGATCTCAAAGCCTTTGCATCAAGATACATCCTTAGATTTTTTTAGTATTTTGTTTTTAGACAAGGTCTTGCCAAATTGCCACGGTTGGGCCTAAACTTTTAATCATCTTGCCTCGGCCTTCCAGCTGGGATTACAAGTGTGTACCACCACACCCAGCTTGAAAATGGAACATTTAGAATTCAATACGCCAATCTCAAAAGGGCAAGGACAAAACACAGCTAACTAAAATTTTACTGTTCTCTATACAAAGTTTAGAACCTAAAAAAAAAAATTCAAAGTGTTTGTTCTACACAATATAAATGCTATTCTACACATACTTTTTTTTTTTTTTTTTTTTTTACTCAGGACCTCCCACTTGCAAGGCAGGCAGCAGCACAGCTGAGCTAAATCCCTGGCTATACCTACGTATTTTAGATAAACTTATACCTATCTTTAAAATGTAACTAAGAGGTGTTTTTGCGACAGCAGTTCCTATCCTAAAAGGGGCAATACGCAGAATCTTCTTAAACCTCCAACAGATTAATGTTGGATCCTCCAGATGCCAAAGTCAGTTCTAAATATTTCCTAAAATCATAATTCAAAATATACCAACTGTGTAAGTTCCCCTTTATCCCAAATAGTATTTTAAGAGATACACTAGTCAATTTGAGAAATAATGAATAAATATTAAAAGAAAATTTCTTTGCAGATCTAAAGATCCTTTGCATGTGATACAAGAAAGATCAACCAGCTGGAAAAAGATTTTTTAAAATACATTTTTGGTTTTCAACTGATCATAGCTTTTCATTTGTGCCATAGTAGAAACAGTTTTCCAGCTCAGCATTTCCAGCAAAAAATCCATGAGTAAATTAGCTTGTTATATAAGCAAAGTGGTCTCTATATTTATAGTCAGCCTGAATTTAAATCAATGGATTAGTCACAAACCCATTGTACAGTGATAGTTTTGCCTAGTTCTTGTATACACTGACAATAGTTAACTGCCTTAATTAGTAGAAAAGAAAGCTGGGAAATCCTCGAGCAGCTATTTTATATTCAAATAGCTTTTAATATATTTAGCATGTGAACTTACATTTCAACACTTTTATATGTGCTAGAAAAAAGAAGTCTCTGAGTTGACAGGCTCCTCTTCATTCACCTCACATATGGATAAACAACTCAGCCTATCATATGGCCAAAATTACGAATTATTAAAAGTACCATTGGGAATAAATACTTTAAAAAAGAAACTGGATTATACTTAAGCACCCTGCTCTACAATATCACTCAGTACAACAAAGACATTATTGTGTCAATAGAACATCAGTTACAAAATCAACCACCTAAGACCAGTAACAGAAAACTCCTTTTATGTGAAAACCTTAATTTCCACGATCTTGTAAAAGCAATTTCCAGTACTAAAGTAAGTTAGATTCTCTCAGGCCTGCTGACATTAACAACCATCATCACTACCACAAATCTTAATATAAAAGAAAAAAAATCAAATCATTTACTGCTTCCAACACACGCTCCAAAACATACCAAGAATTTATCTACTAATAGCAAAGAGCAAGTTGCCACTACACTGACTTTTTATGTAAACTAAAGAGAATAACCACTATCTACTCAATGTTTGTGTACCGTGTATAAGCTAAGAACTTTGTTATATAATCCTCATAAACACTGTCTTACCAGGTTAGCCCCATTTCATAGATGAAGAAATTAAAGCTCACAGGTTAATATGCCCAAAGACAGACAGGAAGCAGTCAAATCTAGGTTTGGTTGGCTCCGAGTCCAATCTTTTCACTAAGCTACAATAATTTCTACCTTCCTAGCCTGGGCTGTTGGCAAGTCTACATTTAATGGGTGATATGCACAATGCTATCTCCTTCGTGATTCACAATATGGCAATACTGAAGATGTCAGATATTCTTGAATGGCCTTGAGTTTAACAAAACAAAGGAGAAAATACTGTAAGACCAATCATCCCTTCTCTGAAGGTGACGGTGAACCACTTAAACAGAAGAGGTTCTTCTTCTATCATTATGAGTAGCAAATTAAATCATGTGAGAATTTAAAAAATTTGTTTCCTCTAAAATAAACTTCCAGGGCCAGGGATTTAGCTCAGTGGTTCTGGCACCTGATTTGCAAGCACAAGGACACGAGTTCGAGCCCCAGTACCAAAAAACAAAACAAAAAAAAAAAAACAAATGAACTTCTAATCAAGTCTCTTGAAATTAGTTACAAACCCAAAAAATCTTGGTGTTCTAGCATTAAGACTGTTTTCTGGTAGGACTGGACACATTCAAAAGCAGAACTTCAAGGTTAAAGCTGTGATTCAGATTCAGAAATTACAAAGCTTCCAACGGCATGTGTACTGGCACACGACTGTAATCCCAGCACTCAAGAATGAGGCAGGAGGATTGGCATTAATTCAAGGCCAGCCTGGCCTACATAGTAAATTCAAGGCCAGCCTAAATTATTCAGTATGACTTTGTCTCAAAAAAACTGGAAAGAAAGATCAAATGAACAGAGGTTCCAAAACTATATGCCAAACTTTGAATACTCAAGTGAACAGCTGGTTTCAATTCAATATAGGTAAGCAAGATTCATGGAAAACTCCCTTACCATAAACAAATGACTTAACTGAGTTTTGCTTTATTCAGCACTGTCCATCTACTACAAAACAGGAGAGGAGCAGAGGGGAAAAGGGAAATCACTTATTGTTAATAAACCACAAAATAGGAGAGTGAAAGGGGAGGAGGGAGTAGAGGGAAGAATGGAGAGGAATGGAGAGGGATGGAGAGGGATGGAAAGGGAGAGGGAGGGAGGGGGAGGGAGGGAGACAGAACAGTTCCATAATCCTTAATGTAGAGATTCATTGAGACAAACTAAAACTGAAGACTCTTCAAATGGAAAGTAAATTCCTTGCTTAACAGACGAGAAAACAGGACCTTGAAGGTAAAACTGACCAGTCAGCCCTGCCATACGGTTAAAAGCATTAAGCACTGTGACCAAATGATTCTTTTTCTTAAATCTTGGGTCCTTTAATCTGCCATTCAGCAGCTGTGTAATTATCATACAATCATTTCAAGCCTTAGTTTCCTCAAATGAAAATAAGAATAATCCTTAACCTACAGGTTTGCTTGCTAAATTACTTTAAGCAAAGTTTAAAACAGCAATGAGCATGAAGCGATAATTACTATTTTATTACTGTGTATATCTTTGGTGAAGTGAGAATAAGTAGCCAGTTTCTGAAGTCATTTGCAGTCTTCCAAGATTATAAAATCTGCAATTCCAAATTTACCATCATCCCAAAATTTAAAACTCAGCCATTTATCAAACACAATAGTCCATGAACATCTAGGTACCTAAAACGTTAAAAAAGGACACTGAAAGTTTTGTCCAAGGCTATGCTACCTCCTATAACCAATGACCTCGTCTATGTTCCATACAGATCATGTGTGAGAATTCACCTAGTCAACCTATATGTACAGTACCTTCTCTAAAATAATTTTGTTCAATAAAAAGTTTTCTTTAATAACAAGTTTCAGAATTAGTTTTTTTGATTGGACAAAGAGCAAAAAATCCACTATAAAATCCACTATTAACACTACATTCACTATGAAGTCATGCCTGTCTTTTCCACAAAAAAATCCATTATGAAATCCACTAATAGCACTACAACCACTATGAAATCATGTCTGTCTTTTCCACAAAAGGCTACAATATCATTGGATAAATGAAGCCTTTACTCTCAGTTGTGAAGGTGGTTGGTTCTTCAGCTAACTCCGGACCACTTAAGCTGTTGGTTACCTCTACTCCCTAAAATGGCAGGATACTTACCTTTATCTCAAAAGTAACAGGTGAATGTATTAAAACACTAAAGTAGTTGTTATCCCACTGGATAATTTCAGAGTGGGTTTAAGAATTAACCTAAAACTATTCCAGATCAAATTGGAATAACAACATTGTATTTCTGGAACTGCACACAATTCAGGGAGTTGCCACTTACTGCTTAGCATACACGAACTATTCTCGGTGTAGATACCAACTTCCGAGGAAGATAGACAACTGTTCGCTGAAAAAAAATTTTTTTTCTTCAAATTATCATTTAAAGGTTGTTTTTTTTTTCTTGTTCGAAATGGTTGATATAAACCCAACAGTTTAGGCTGTTTTTACTAAAGAAGAGAAACAGTCGATGCTAAAATAATCCAACTTTTGGCCGTTCGAAGAAGAGAACTTCCTGAATTCCTATTAGACACTTGAAATAACAATACCGCTGACTCTGAGTAACTAAAGTTGCATCTAGAAAAATTTTGATCCAATAATGAAAATAAGAATCTTCTGGATTAGCAACAAATATTGCATTGATCTCATTTCTTCAATAGAAAGCTCACGACTTCCAGTGTTTCCCAAAGAGTGAAAAATAAAATTTTCGGAAAGGACTGCCATATTAATATCAAGGGTTATCAGTGACCTCATTAGCACCTGTAAGATACTTACGAATTTGTGTGCAGATATTCAAAGGTTAGCTGAGCTCGATTCAGACTGCTGTAATATGTGAAAGCCATGACTGCTGGGAGAGCTCCAGTCTTTTACCCAATGGAACAAACTTTTCTTAACTCTGTCAGTAAACGTTGTCTCTATTCTTTAAGGATTGTTGAAGCAAGTTAGCGAGTATCTAACCAAAATGTATTCAGATATTCAAAACTGCAACTGATGTCTTAAGTATTTTAAAATCTTCTATGACGTAATATTTTGGAAAGAACTTTGTCATAAACCTGCAGCACCAAAGAGCTTTTAGCATTAAGTTTCGGTACTTCAATTCAGACAGAGTCGAAAGTGAATGGTCCTGGAGTCGACGGTTATTGAGCTCACTGTCGGTTATTTTTTCATCTTAACGTTCTTCGAGCCCTTTTTTGCCTTAAATTTCCTGACTAGAAAATTTACCAAGCCGGAAATTTACCCACTACTGTCATAAAACTGAATATGCACTCACGTCTTCGCCACCAGTGATGGCAGGATCCTGAAACAAGCCCTAGATGGAGACCACGGTGTCCTAGCAACGCATATGGGTCTAGTTCCGGTCACCAATTCCCAATCGGAAGAGATGCTTTTTTTTTCCAAAACTTGAAAAAAACTGGTTGCGGTCCAGCCCCAATCTCCATAGGGTGGTGCCTTAAATTATCTCAAGATGGTCCACTACTACACCTCAGAACTGACCGACCCTAATCACCTCAACCGGGCGGCGCCCCTCCCCCACTCTCCTCAGCCACCCTTCTTGGGCCTTGGTCCCGTGGCTCCTCCTCAGGCAGAGTTAGTCTCAGCTTTCAAAGCCTCAGATCGAGAACAGAGACGAGAGAACCACTCAGTCCGGCGTTGTCAGAAGCTCGCAGCTGCCTTTGTCCCTCCCCGCGGAATTGGAACCCGACAACCGCAGCGGGCTCTTGGAACCATGTGCTGCCGCTGCCGCTGCCGCCGCCGC